GGTACAGAAGAAAATAGGAAGGGAGACCACAGGCAGAAAAGGCTGTGCTGGTTTTGTGATAATCAAATACTAGCAGATGATTGCGTTAATCAGTATTGTAAGACCTCACTAATGCATTTTGCAGCTGCAGAGTTCTGCAAAAAGCGAAGCTGATCACTGACCTGTCTGAAAGGTAAATATTCAGGGAAAACGTTTTCTCCTTCCTTTCTTCATAATAAATGAAACTCTGATTTCCATAATAAATGTTGAAGAATAAGCCTTCAAAACTGTACATACATGTATACTTTTTACTGCACCTACAGCTACTAATTTGTTTTGATTTACTTGGTTTTTTTGATCCACACTTCTTTCAGAAGCAAATGGGGAATTTCAGAAATGTTGCTGAACTAAAGCGTCTGGCTCATTTCAATTTGTTATGTGGCATAAAGCAGGACAGTGCTCCTGGTGACAGCAGCTAGGGTGAATTTTGATTGATAGATAAGCTCACAGTGCTGCTGCAAATTTGGAGGAAGACAAAATAAGAACACCATGAGACAAGTTTGTGATTGCACTGACCACACGGGAGAGAAAACGTGAGAAAGATCTTTTCTCCCTTTCCTTACATTTCTTTTAGCTTAAAAAATTAAATGACATGTTCAGCCAAAGTATGTTGCTAAATATGAAGCACAAAAACCAATCGGAAGGGAAAGGCAACGCTGCAGCAGCAAGACACTGATCTCTGCATGTAACAGAACTATTCCTAGAAGTATAATTTTTCCTCTCTGATTTCTCATTTTCATCCTCCCACTCCATGCAAGAGGGCATATGACAGGGAAATTACATACGTCACATGGAGCTATAAAGGCTGTTAGTAAGAACAGTGTTGGTTATGCACTTTCCCATTGAGAACAAGCTAAATGTAACCATTTCCCATCTCCGATTCTTCAAAACTTGTTATGCAGACAGTATACATTTGAGAAGAATGCCCAACTTGACAAGTGGCATTAGTAACAAACTCACACATTATTTTGCCTTTAAATACATAGATATTTTTACAGCAACTCCACTTCAATACACTACAATACAATCTATTAAAGCAATCATCATGTGATTGCATGTTATGCATTGATGGGTATTTTCTGAAACAAGCAAAATTCTGACTTCTCTCACAGCACCCCACAAAAAAAGAAATCACAAATACAGTATTATGAATATTGTACACAAAAATGAATCTTGACTCTCTTTTCTTTCTAGGATTAAGGGCAGAAGTATTGGAATAGTATGACAGGAAGCTGCAGGAAGAACAACAAAGAAAAGACTTAGACCAAAACAGGAGCTAAGACAACATGAAAAGCTTCAAACATTCCCTTTTAATTGAAATTTTCTGTAATTAAAGCCAATTTCGATAACTGAGAGCATTATGGGTTTCACTCACATTTTATCCACTCCTTTTTCACTTAGGCAGAGATCGGTCCCTCCTTAGTACTGCCAGAAATCCCAGACAAAAACCCAAACCTTTGATTATAACAAATGCATCCGAAACTTGGTAAATGTTGCCCTTGATAGCTTACCTCTAAGGATAATCTTTAGAAATGCAGCTAAATTCTTTAGAGCCTCCTATTTGTAATCCTCAACCCACTTAGGACTGATTTAGTTATCAGAGGGAAGGAAACCAAGATGTTTCTTACAGTCTCTGCAGCTTACATCCTTCCTGACCTCCAGCAAGATGCACCTAGAGTTCCCCACTCTAACACGGGATGAATGCCACTGGTCTCAGGCCACGGGCTGACATTTTTTTCTGTATCCAGCACAGCTGACAGAATGATCGCTGTATTCTTCCTCCTGTTACTTGTCATGTTCAAACCAGAGTTCAGCCCCATTGAATGATGTGGGAAGACAGAACATCGTCTGTAAGCAATCCATAATTCTCTAGCTACAATAACCTGGTTAATGTACACGGTTTAAGGAGGTGTTCTCAGCTAGCCTCACCACCAACTCTGCCCAGCCATGCAGCACAGCTGGGAATATGTGGATTTCTAGCAAAGATGAAATGACAACTAATTTGGCATCTTTCTTTTTTTTTTTTTACAGGCCTAGCCAGATGCAGAAAAGGACCCATGTCCACAGCTGTATAAAACCATGATGGCAGTTAGCTATTCAAGTCCTGCCCTCAGGGAAAAAGGGTTCTGTGCATACCTCAGTTCCATTTCAACCTGCTTGGTTTAAAATTAAACAACTTATTTGCAACTGCTATTCCTCAAAAGCACCTCAGTCTGGGGACGGCAACGCTCTCCCCTTCACACTGTGCTTCTCTAACGACTCATCAGACCCAGCAGTGACACATGTATTCTGTGGCGATTACACTTTTTGTTAATTAGCCATGTTCAATATAAAGAAAAGTAGCAGGATAAATAGATTAGTCTGGTTCTGTACAAGCCATGGTAGCAGATGAAAAGAGCACTAAACAGGGAAAATGAAGGAAACATGAAATAAGCACATTACACAGACACAAGATTAGTTCAGGCTTTCTGTTGATCAGAAGAATTGGATTTTATCACTCTGGATAAGACATTCCACACTGTCACTGATTCAAGGCCTATCTGCAGTGATTGCACTTTATGTACCAGTGCATATGGGCATGACTGCAGTTACAGTCTGCAAGTCACAGTTAATGTGCTTGATGTTACAAGCATACAATAAGCATTTTAATATAGCCAGGTATTAAGTCATACATCTTGGAAGAAACAAGACAGGCAATACTTCTAGAAATGGAGCAGTGACTTGAAAAGCAGCAGTTCTAAAAAATAATACAAGGGTCTTGGCTGAGAAGTCATCTAAAGACGAGTTCCTAATGGTAAAAAGGGGATATGCCTAACAATGCATACAGCATTTCGTTTTGAGGTGGTGCTGGCACAGCCCACGTGCCCTTTGCTAACATTCATATTTCAAGAGGAATGTGAATAATCTTGAAAAGGTTTAGAGAAAACAGACACGTGAGAACACTTAAGGATTAGAAAGCACAAAGCTCTCAGTGGTTCAGCATAGACAGGCTAATCAGGAGACAACTATGGGTTACTTTGACCTCAATCTATATATTCCTACAGGGAAACAGGACAGAAACATCATCAGGCCAGCACACAAAGTCTATAACTGCTACTAAGACTGGAAATTACCATTTGGAAATCTGTACCAGAAATAATGCAAAGTCTTAAGGGAGAAGGCAATTATGCAAGGATTTTACCAGAGGAAATAGTGGGGTTTCCATCACGTGCTATTTAAAAATCAAGATTGGATGTTCTTTTCCAAAAAGCCATGTTTTTGTCTTAATCAGCCCATGAATATCCTATGTGTCATACAGAATCTCAGACTAGGCAATCACAGATCTCCCCTCTGGGCACATAAGCTATTAATACATATTTCTGAATTCATGCAGACTGAATAAACTGAGAAAGATACATATGTCAGTGAAAAAAAAAACCTGGTGACTAAGCAACTATCTTGTTCCTTAAATCCAACTAGTTTTCAACAGGTTGTTCTGCTGATATGCACTGCAAATCAGGTCAGGAAGGATACACGATTATTACATGCAACTGTTCCTGGGAGACTGATAATGAGATCAGGAACTCAAAGTACAAGAGCCGCAGCTAGAAAACACTCGAATGAAAGGATCCCAGCTCTGCTCCAGCATTTTGCAGACAGAAGGAGAAACTGCAGATGGGGGCAGACTAAGTCGTTCTATACCATGAGCCAAATAGAATAACTGTCACGGTATTTACTATGATGCAAAGCAAAATTTCCTTTTAAGACACAGATTACATGGCTTAGTGCAATAAGCCCAAATATAAACCTGAGATCACAATCGAACGCACACGGCTAATATACAGATTTTTCGCAGCACGTAGCCAAGAAGCATTCAGCTCTACCCTTTTGCTACCACTGGCAACATTCTCCCATTTCTCTTAAGTTTTTGTTTTGTTTTGTGTCACAGATGGACCGTTTACTTGTAGCTATCCTTTTTCAAGAATTCATTCTGTATAAGCAGCGTTATCAGACTAAATGTTGCTTCTGTGGCTCAGAAAACTGTGCAAAACCGATATTCTCATGCCAATGAAGAGACAAAGAAAGAAAATGTGAGACACAGGTGCTCTCACACTGTTGTATCGTTTGGTCCTATGTATGGCACAGCATGTACTGATCAGTTCCTTTTTCAGCTGACAAGAGGCTTAAAATAAGGTCTTTTTAGGCAGGAGGGAAGGCATACAGAGTATATGGGCGTACAGAGCTAGAGGTAACTTGGAAGAAATCCAGTTATTAGTAAGCAATCACTTTTCTTTGAAAACTGCATGAGACACGCTCCCGGGTGTGGCAGCCTGGAAGGAGCTCCAGAAAAGGATGGTGGACAAGAAGCAGAGACCACTGTGAGCTTAACAACACAATATACTTTTAACTTGGTGAAAATATGATCGAACCTCTGTGGTGTTATTCTGCAGCTCTCATCTGCAGATGGGAGACAATGCAGTAATTGCAATATTTAAGAAACAAAACGCCGATATTATTACAGGGAGATAAAATGAGATTGAACACTCCTAGGGTTTTTAAGTGAAACACAATTTCCATTTCAAAATGCAGCACATTTTTTAGTTGTAGACATAAGAAAAGAAATAATTGAAAGACACATTTGCTTATGACTGATGGAAGTTCACAAAACCTCTGACACCTTCAATTTCCCATTACTTTTAACAGCTTCTGCATTTTCCAAAATTATTGTGATATCAAGGCTATAAAAATTTTTTGTTCTATCAGAAAGGTGTACATAAATAGCAAAGGATCCACATCAATCTAGACAGAAGTTTCCTCATCAGAAAGACTTCAAAATGTTCAATTTAATTATTTGAATATGTTTATTTTCAGAAAAAGAACTCAATAGATTTAGAGAGAAGGGATACTTTTAAATTTAGAGTTATGCTCTATTATATTGATCAAAATAAATTTGCTCAAGTGTATGAGTATAGAAAACTCACCTTCCAGAAATTATCTACTTTGCCATAAACGAGAGATTGATTCTGCCTTTTGATGTCATTAATGTGCTTAATGTCACTGGAATTCAGATGCTGCTCTACCACAAATCCAAGGAAGCTGTTATCTGGAGTGTGAGCTGTAAGAAACATAGAGTATTCAAAACCTTTTAAAGTATCAGTTAATGCTACAAAAACATGAATGTTGCCAGAAAAGTAGGTATAAGGAACATATTATTCAACAGATCACTTCCTTCACATTCATGCTGAGAGACGCATTTGCTTGCTTTATTATCGAGAATAGTTCTTATTAATTTTAAGTCCTGCTGCATATGTCTACTGAAGTAAGCAGTTATTTTCTGGCTCGTTTCTGACAATATAAATTCTGTAGCTGGACCGAGGCCAATGATAATGATTTTGTGTGTGCTGAGCTTTATTTTATTATTAGAGATAAGAGAACCAGAAGAAATCCAGCTTGACAATCTGAGAGATGCAATACCAACAATTTGAAAAAACCCTGAATTTATGCTTGCTAACAAAGCTATATGTTGCTCAATGTCATAAATAAATTTTAAGTAAATTTCTCGGGTTCACCTCCTGTCTTGGAAGAGCTGACACCAACCATGCAACTCACTGCACATTATGTATCCATGCTAATTACTAGCCTACAAAGTCACACTCTGGAGATCAGAATACAAATTTCAGTGCCTAGTTCACTTGGATGTATCTATCATAAAACATTGAAAGGTGACAGCTGAGGTCGGCAAAACTGTTGTTAATCCAGGGCCCAGACAAGAAAAGTGCATGCAAAGGATATGTAATTTACTCTTAGTTTTCAGTATTATTATTAGCCTCTGGTGGTCTTCTTCCAGCAGTACCATCCAGCAATATTAGCCGGTGTTCTCCTTCTATAAAGACACAGACCTAGAGGCTCATTAAAACTAAAGGGTTGCGGTTTTTTGTTGTTTTTTTGTTGTTGTTGGTTTTTTTGGTCCCCCCC